AATCTTGCCAGGAAAACCCCATGCCAGGTTTGTCTTAGGGTCTCCATAAGTTGAAAACTTATGACACAACAACAACAACAACAACAACAACAACAGTGCAAGAAAGGAACTTCTCTGAGCTCTGTCTTAGTGGCTATTTCTTGTCGTTTTATGATACAAAGAGCTCCTAACCTTCAGCTAATATTGAGCTGAAACAATTGCTTCTCCTGGACTTCAAGGAGAAGCAATTCTCATCCACACATGCACACACTTTTATCCAAGAAAGTGGCCGTGTGTGGAATCTGGGGATGTCAAGGGCCACAAAACAGTCCTAGGGGCCACATATTGTTATTGTTGTTGTATGCCTTCAAGTCGTTTCCAACCTATGATGACCCTGAAGTGACTCTGTCATGCAGTTTTCTTGGCAAGATTTGTTCAGAGGAGATTTGCCTTTGTCTTCCCCTGAGGCTGAGACAGTGTGACTTACCAAAGGTCAATCAGTGGGTTTCACAGCCAAGCTGGGAATCAAACCCTGGTCTTTAAAGTTGGAGTCCAACACTCACTAAACCACTAAACCACGCTGGCTTTCACAGCCCCATATTACCCATCTGTAACTTAAATTCATATATATATATATATATATATAGACTGGCAGTTTCTAGGACCCGTAGTCCAAAAAAGTAACATTTCCCAGCTCGGACCTACGGTACTTATTATTTGTTGTCTTCATGTGGACTGAATAAATGACTCCAAGGCTTGTTGCAATACTGATAAAAACCAAATTCAAATGATTTTATTGTTGAAGCATTAGCACAAAACAATTTGTGATGATCTTAAGTGTTCAATGGCAATGGCCATCACTGTTGGCTTTGACTGATGATGGCCCTATGGATGAGAGATCTCCAGGACACTGTGTTATTAACAGCCCTGCTTTGGTCTTGCAAATTCAGGGCTGTGGCTTTTTGACTGTCTCTCCACCTGTAATGTGGCTTCCTCTTTCCTTACTGCCTTCCATCTTGCCAAGCATTATCATCTTTTCTACTGAGTTGTGTTGTCTCATGATATGTCCAAAATACAATGGCCTCAGTTTAGTTCCTTAGGCTTCACTTGCTCTTGTGCCCATTTATTTGTCCTTTTTTTGCAGTCCATGGTATCAGTAGAACTCTCCACCAGCACTACAGTTCAAATGAGTTGATATTTTCCCTGCCAACATTTTGTGATAACACAGATAGACAGCCATGGAGAGGTGTGTTTCATTTCAGGAAATACTCAATGAATTTAAACTGACCTGGGGGGAAAGTCCTTGTAAGTGCCGGGAGTTCCCTGGGAATACTCTTGTTGTTGTTGTTGTTGTTGTTGTTGTTGTTGTTGTTGTTGTTGTTGTTGTGTGTCTTCAATTCAATTTCCAACTTATGGTGACCCTAAGACAAACATTTGCCTTTGCCTTCCTCTGAGACTGAGAGAGTGTGACTCACCCAAGGTCATCTAGTCGGTTTCCATGGCTGAGTGGGGATTTGAACCCTGGTCTCCAGAGTCATAACCCAACACTCAAACCATTTATAGCACACTGGGTCTCAAATGTCAGGTAGATTTCAATAATGATAATAATAATGATAATGATAATAATCAGAAAGGACAGAAACAAAACCAGGGATTTTCCAATCCCTTTCGGGGTTAGGGAAACCACATCATGCAGTTTAGGTGGTTCTGGATGATTTTGTCCAGATTTGGGGCAAAAAAAGCCCCCAAACTGGCAATGGTCAATTGAGGTCTGGGGCTTTGAGAGGCTTCTGGGGGGTCCCAAGGGCCACACTGGAGTAAAACTGCTGGAACAATTCTTGAATGGAAAGTTCAACCCAAAGGTAAACCACATTGATTCAATGGTTCTACTCTACATGGGACTAACACTAGAATTCAAGCAAGGCCATGGGCTAAGGGGAAGAAAGGTTGGATATACATTTTGCTAATAATTTAATTAATTAATTAATTAATACATAGTATAGACAGTTTGAAAGCACGGTGTTTTGGCTGAATCTAATCTCTCCAATTTTGGCAGGTATTGGGGGTGGGCGACTGGACACTCTGGAGAATACTGTTGTAGTTAAGTGTCTTCAAGTCATTTTTTTTTACTTATGGTGACCCTAAGGCAAACGTATTATAGAGTTTTCTTGGCAAGTGTCTTCAGAGGGGGTTTGCCGTTGCCATCCTCTGAGGTTGAGAGTGTGTGACTTGCCTAAGGTCACCCAGTGGATTTTTATGTTTGAGCGGGGAATCGAACCCTGATCTCCCGAGTTGTAGTCCAATGCTCAGACTACTACACCACGCTGGCTCTACTACATGTGGCTTTTAAACTGCAATTGTCCTGGTGTGTTGTGTGCCGACAAGTCATTTCTGACTTATGGTGGCCCTAAGGCGAATCTATCATGGGGTTTTCTTGGCCAGATTTGTTCAGAGGAGGTTTGCTCTGGCCTTCCCCTGAGCTTGAGAGAGTGTGACTTGCTCAAAATCACCAAGTGGGTTTCTTGGCTGAGTGGGAATCGGACCCTGGTCTCCAGAGTCATAGCCCAACACAAACCACTGTGCCACAATGACAGCTATCACACAACACCACCTCAACCTGTAACTGCTGTGCCTCGCAACCGCAATTAGGGCATCCCTTTTCATTGATAGGGAAACCCATCAATGACCCTTTTTTGTGACCAGGCTCCGCCATAAGCCAGCTGATACACATTTGCCAGCACTTTTTGGTTTGTTTAAATTGTTTTTAATAATTGTTGTTTTATATGGAGGATTTTAACTCCTTGTTAATTTGTTTTAAACTGTAACGATTTAATAACTTTTTAAGGGGGGGAGGGGGGGAAATTGTTCTTAGCTTGTATGATGTTTTTTATCTTGTTAGCCACCTCGATTGCGCTCAGAAGGGCGGGGTATCAAATAAATATTATTATTATTATTATTACCTCTCAATAGCACAAGTCCCCAGGTGTGAAACATCACTTTCTGGGAAGTCATGCTATTGGCATTCATGTGGTACCAGTGACCACTCCTCTCCCCTGTCCCCCTTCCCCTTCACTATTCCTATGCAGCCCAATTGCCTTTAATCACCCCCCACCATGTCTTTTATTGTTGTTTTTAATCACAACAGCAGAGTTCCGGAACTGCGTGATTTAGAAGAAAAATAATTGAAACAAACTACAAAATAAAAATACCAAAAAGTGTGCTGGGTAGGGCATAAGGCAGAGAGACAGTGTTGAAGGAGACGCAGGTAGAGAGCATGATGGCAGAAGCAGCCCCAGTTGCACAATTCTGCAAATGTGTGATATTGGCTGCTCTGAATGCAATGTTTCCTTTACGTAATAAACTGATGTGATTGCTGCAAGAATAGAGCTCATGCGGTAAAGTCCTCAGCCTCCATCACCCAAACATCACCTTAGATTCATATATCTTTTCTTCAGCTTGTGCATGATTAGTTTTGCAGCAGTCACCAGATCCAGAAACTACAGTCTGCCGGCACTGGGGTGGGACAGAACAGCTGTTTTTAGCAACCTATAGTAGCATGATGCAAGGGGGAAGGAATTTCCATCCCTCCTGCTGGCTATGCTGACTTCATTCTGTTTCCCTTTGTGCTGAATACATCATCGGCATTTATTTGTTGAGTCAGAAGTTTTGATTCTGTCTACTTAACTTAAATAGAGCTTGGAAATGTTGCTTTTTTGGACTGCAAGTCCCAGAATTCCCCAGCCATTCTAGTCCTCTCTGCCCTCAAGGAATGTTTCCAGGTTTTGAATTTAACATGCGGTCACTTCTGCATAGAAGGAAAATGGACAATAAAGAGTTTTTAATGAGACTTCATTGGCAGGGTCACTTAAAAAGTTATCCACATTTCTATGAAAATCATGGGAATAAAGATTGCAAGGCCATGTTGTTATTTATTTGCCCACCTATGTGGGAATTAGCATGCACCTGCACAAGGAAAAAAGTCATACCTGATAATTAGGCTCACAAAGATCCAGTGCATGAACATGTGCTTGGAAGCTCCAATGGATCACTACTTCTGAGGCTGGGCATAGCACATGTACAAAGCATGAAACACATACTACTAGCGGAAAACATCTCAGATCTGGAACAATTACTAAGGAAGGTCAAAGAGGAAAATGCAAAGGCAGGCTTAATGCTGAACACAAAAGAAAACCAAAATAATGACCACAGAAAAAAATATAAATTCAACCTAGACAATGAAGAAACTGAAATAGTTAAAGAGTTCCCATACCTAGGCTCAAACATTGATCAGAGGGGTGACAGCAGCAAAGAAATAAGAAGACTAGGAATGGGAAGGGCAGCAATGAAAGAATTAGAAAAGATCCTAAAGTACAAAGATGTACAACTGAGCACCAAAGTCAGAATTGTCCAAGCAGTATATTCCCCATCACTATGTACAGATGCAAGAGCTGGACTGTGAAAAAGGCAGATAAGAATAAATCAATTCTTTTGAGATGTGGTGCTGGAGAAGAATGCTGAGGATTCCATGGACAACCAAGAAGACAAACAAATGGGTCCTAGAACAGATCAAGCCTGAAATTTCCCTGGAAGCCAAGATGACAAAACTGAAGCTGTTATACTTTGGCCACATCATGAGAAGGCACAACTCACCCAAAAAGACAATAATGCTGGGAAAGGTTGATTGTAGTAAAAAGAGAGGAAGACCACATGCCAGATGGCTCAATTGGGGAAGTTACAAACAGGAATCTACTGGATTTAAGCAGAGCAGTGGATGATGGGGGGGTTGGAAATGTCTCATCTGTAGGGTTGCCATGAGTCAGAACCAACTCAAGGGCAGTTAACAACAACAACAAATCAAATTATATGTGGCCTCAGACAAGCTGTTGTTTCCTCAATATGCATTTGTAATATTGGTTTCTTCTCACTTGTTGTTGTGTGCCTTCAAGTCATTTCCAACTTATGGCCACCCTAAAGTGAACCTGTCATAGGGTTTTCTAGGGCTAAGAGCATATGACTTGCCCAAGGTCACCCAGTGGCTTTCCATAGTTGAGTGGGAATTTGAACCCTGATCCCCAGAGTTAGTCCAATGCTCAAACAACTATGCCACACTGGCTCTTACACTGACCCACTTCAAATAGATTTTGTAATGGGGATTAGAGGAATAATGAACACATTACAACACAGTTGCCCCCCTGTTTTCGTGGGGGATCCATTCCAGATCCCTCCGTGAAAATGGAAGCCAGCGCATATTCAAGCCCCATAGCCTTGAATGGAGGTGCGGGGGTGCAGGGGCATGTGGGCATGTACCATGGGGGTGCGCCCCATTGTATGCCCCCCATTTTTCCCTCGCACATAAGTGAACAACACGCATCCAAAGTCCGCAAAAATAGAGGGGCAACTGTACTTACCATAATAATATTTATGTATTTGAAGCATATAAAACATAAATTCTATTATGGAAACTATAGTAAACTTCAGTGATTGAAGTGGGTTGGCCTCATATTGTATAAATCTCTCTCTTTGTTTATTATCTATCTGTCTGTCTGTTTGTCTATCTATTATAAATCTCACTTTTCTCCAAACAT